GTGTGCCAGCTCACCAAAGCTCCGGCTGAGGTTCTGCTGGGCACCCGCAGGCGCCTGTGTCCCCCAATAAATCCCTCTTGCTTTTTGCAGCCAGTGTTTTGTGTGATTCTCCTTGGACAGGGAAACGGGGGGTCTTTTCAACACACTCTTAGCTCCCTGAGATCAGGACCAGGTATCTTGCCTATGGCATCCCCAAGGTCTGGCGCACAGTAGTCACAAGCCACACCAACGGACCAGGTCCTCACTCCATTCTCAAAACACCCCTCTGCCACTTACTGAGCATTCAGAATGTGCCCAGCAGCAGGACAGAAATCCACTACTCCAGAGGGTGGCGGTGGACGTCCCTACGCAGCAGGACCAGTGGGCCCCAGACTGCGGCGCTAGTCCCTCGCTTCTGCAGGTGTTTGCAGGACTGGAAGCCGCCTAGGTGCCGAGTGGCCTGAGTGACGGGAATAGAGTCACCGGGTCACTGGCGGGGGTGCGGGGCCAGGCCGGTCCCAGGAACCTGGATCTCTCCTGGCTCCGGGTCCCTCCATCCCAGGGTCCCCCCTGAAAGCAAGTCTTCGCCTCAGAGCTGGGGTCGCTGCGCTGGGAGCCACCGGGGATCCCACGAGTCCCGCGGAGAGGGCGCGCGGAAGGGACGGGCGGCCTTCAGCGCTCCTTGCCTCCACGCAGGTCCCGGGGGTGTCTCGGGCTCCGGGTTCTCCCCTCCAGGGCGACCCCGGCCGCGCCGTCACTCACCCGCCGGTCTCTGGGGTCTTGGAACGTCGGTCCGCAGCAGCTTGGTAGCCGCGGCGCTGCTCGTGGAGGGGGCGGGGCGCGGGCGTCGGTTGCCAAGGAGGAGGGACGCGAGGGCGGAACCGCTGGCGCCGGCGACCGGAAGCTCCGCCTCCAAGATGGCCGCGCCTAGCGGTCTTGCTGGAAGCCGTCCCTTTACCGTCATGTGACGCGAGCTCTCGCCCCACCCGTCTGCAGCCACTCCCAGTCTCCGTCCCCAAGCTCGAGAAGGCCACGTGACCCTCCCGGGGCCAGTCACGTGAGGCGTGGATCTGGGTGGGAGGGGGGTTGGCAGAGTGGTCCGGAGTGGCAGCGAAGGAGGAAGATGGCGGGGTGCAGGGGGTCCCTGTGCTGCTGCTGCAGGTGGTGCTGCTGCTGCGGAGAGAATGAGACCCGAACTCCCGAGGAGCTGGTAAGAAGCGGGCGGGGCCGGGCTGGGGAGGGGGCGGTTGCTAAGGGATGGCGAGAGGCGTTGCCGGGGGTGGGGCCGAGCCGAAATGGGCCCGCAGGTGGCAGCGGGTGGGGCCTAGGGACCGAAGCCTGGGCTCGGGAAGCATCTGCCCTGCTTAACGTGCAGAGCTTTTCTCATAACCCCTCTTTGAAATCTGAAGGAGAATCCAGGCCAACTCCAATTATCTCATGTGTATTTTCTTTTATTGTCATCTGAAAGTATTTTTTAATGAAACAGGCCTGTTCAGAATGAGCCCCTTCCACAGGACTTTGTGCGCATCATACAGCCGGTTTAGTTTCTCCAGCCCTTTTTTATTCTGTCTCACCCTTTCTGGGTCACTGTAGATCCAGATTCCCCCTGCAAAACAACCAGGTGAAACTTGAGTTGTTGTGTCCCCAGAGTTGACAGATTACTTCTTTAGTCTAACATTTTCCCAATTGTAGTATCCTGGCTACTTGGAGAGGTCCTTCTGATTTCGGGTTCAGCGCATTGTCAGATGGAGCCTGAATCCTCGGCCCCCACCTCTAAACTGGCAGTGGACATCTTTGAGGTGTCCTAAAAATGCCAGTGGTTATTTGGAGAATGTATCAATAGAAATGAAGAACTCAGCTGGATGACTAGATCTCCACCCACATGACTCCTCATCCTAAAAGGTTTTTTTGAGGTCTTGTTCCACTTTAATGGTGGCTCCAGCTGATTTAGAACTAGCAACTGATCAGATTTCAGTAAATATTTCTGCCTCCTTCTTTCTCTCTCTCTCTCTCTCTCTCTCTCTCTCTCGCTCTCGCTCTCTCGCTCTCACTCTCTCTCTTTTTTTTTTTTTTGTACCAGAGATTGAACTGGGGCACTCCCCCACTGAGCCACATCCCCAGCCCTTTTTTTGTATTTTATTTAGAGACAGGGTCTCGCTGAGTTGCTTAGCTCCTCGCTGTTACTGAGGCTGGTGTTGAACTCCCCATCCTCCTGTCTCAGCCTCCCAAACCTCTGGGATTACAGGTGCGCCATGGTGCCCAGCTTGCTTCCTTCCACTCTTAACCACTAAAAAGGTCTCCCTAATGTGGATCTGTTTTTCTAGACCATCCTTGGAGAGACACAGGAAGGGGAGGATGAGATCCTTCCAAGGAAAGACTATGAGGTGAGATTCTTAAATTCTATGTTGGGTAACTAAAGTAGTGAGTGGGCTGCTTACTTCAGACCAAAGTGATGATTCTAACCTGAGATGCTTTTTGACCTTCTGTCTTAGGGAGTGAGTGGGTAAGAAATGATGTCCTTCTGGGAAGGGGCTATTTAACAATGCCTTTTTTCACCTTGACCCCCAATATCTTGTGTCTGTGCTTTTATGGACCTATAGTACCTTTACCCAGAGTATGCATTTGCCTTTAAACTGCCTTTACAACCTACAGAGACCCATAGCCAAAGCTACTTGCAATGTACACTCATAACAGGCTTGTGTTCATACCCTGTTAAGGAATCCTTGCTTCTCTTCTGAGAGAACTTAGTTTTCAAATGATAGTTTCTTGCCCAAGCAGTTTCTCTCTGAAATGTTCTTGATTATAGTTTCCAGTTTCATGTATGGGATTCTTATGAGTATGTATTTTTTGTAAGGTCATGCTGCTAGAGTGAAATTGACTTTTTATCATTTAATCAGTTCATGATGAATTTTCATATGAATTTTGAAATGACAAAAGCAAACTATGATTGTGTAGAAAATCCTTAAACAATTTACGAAAAGAAGATAAAATCCTAATTCTAATAATATGCTATCTTAGCCTGTTCTCCCCAGCCCAACTTGATAACAGTTTTTGTACTGCTGCTTTTCTATAATATCTTTTTAAATAGGGAAACAATTTTTTATTGCCGTGATTTATTTAATCCATCTTTGGTTTTCCCACCTTCTCTATAATGAACTGCATGGTGGGGAACGTCTGTCTTTTCTTGCCCATCCTTAGCTGCTCCCTAGGGATCACTTCTGAGAAATGGAATTAATCATGTGTGTTTTCAGCACTTTTTTAAATGTCATGTAGACTACAGATCCCATATGTGAGGACAATAACATACTTGACTACTTTAAATACTGCACATTTGCTACAGAGTGTAAACATTAGGATTTGTAGTATGGCACAGAATTTTGTAAACATTTATTATAGAGAATTTCAAACATGCACAAAAATGGCCAGGACTGTGTATCGAAGACCCTATCCTCAAACACAGCTTCAACAGCCGTCAGCTCAAGCTTAACCTTGTTTSATCTCTGTTTTCTCCACTTCTCCCTTCCCATATTATTTTGAAGGAAATTCTATACATCATATCACATCACCTGAAAATAATTTGTGTATATCCAGAGGATAAGGACTTTTTTAAAAAAGCATAATGCAATTATTCCATCTAAAAGATGGTATCAAATATCCAGTATATGAATTTCCCAGTCTTCATATGATAGTTATATGTATTTTTCTGTTTGAAACAGGTTCCAAATAAGGTTCTCACATTACATTTGTTTGAAATCTTTTAAATCCCTTTCTTTCTTCTTTTTTTTTTCTTTTTTTGTGTGAGATGCTCTTTGACCTTCTGTCCTTGGGAGTGAGTGGGTAAGAAATGATGTCCTTCTGGGAAGGGGGCACACGTGCAGGAGATCAAGGCCGGGGCCTTGTGCATCCTAGGCAAGCCCTCTGCCTCTGAGCTATATCCCCAGCCCTCCTAAGTCTCTTTTCATTTATGCTTTCTTCCTTTACATTTTTTCCCCTTTGTAATTTGTTTTACAATATCATTAGGACTCTGGAATTTTCTGCCCTCTAGATTTTGCCTGTTGTGCCACCATGGTACAGTTTAATACTCAACTCTGATGGGACAATTTTTAATGAATCCAAAAGCACTGTATCCACTGGTGTATTTCCTCATACTTCTTAAGTATTTAGTTCCTTGTATGTAGTTGAGATTTTTGAGAAATCACCAGAAGACGCTCCATGTTGTGCTGTCACCTTGCCCTCTTGCTGAGCCCCTCAAACATCGAAGACGTCTTACTGCCTTCTCCCACATCTGGGAGCTGGGCCAGCCTCCTCCACCCACCCTGCCTTTTCTGAGGCTCTATCTGTCTTTCCACTGGACTGCACTTGTGTTTGTGATGCGCTCGCCCTGAGTGGAGGTGCCAGCATGCGAATGCCATGGGTAGATGTTCTTTCGTGTGGATTATTAGTGTTTCCCAGTTAGCTGTCTCTGCATATGAGCTTCCTGAGAGCATTTGCTTTGTGTAAGAGCAAATTCACTTAGACACTTAATCAGGAAAGTGCTCAGATTTTACTTCAGGGTCAACTAGAAACCTTGTATTCAAGGTCTTTCTAGAGTGTACTCTTTTCCCTTCTGCTTTGGGGGAGCTTGTAATGTGTACTTGACTCTTTTGTTTGTAAATTGGGTGTCTTATAAGATGTTAAGCATCCCATTTTGACATCCATTCTCTTGGGTGGTTTGATAATAATTTCCTGTCATGAATGGTGCTATTTTCTGTTTTCATGCAGGTCATTGAGTCTGTCTTGCTCTTCTGAGTTARAAAAAGGCTCTTTTCAGAGCAGGTTTGGATGTCACTGCCTCCTCCTCTCAGACATGGCCACGGCCCTAGCTCAGGCCTACTGAAGGTGCTTTTGTGTGAGACGAAGGTAGCCCTTCCTGATTGGATTTGGGCTGCATCTCAGCCCCACTTGTTCCTGTGGTTGGGTATTGTTTTGCTCATAGCCATAAGCAGTAGCCCTACAGGACACCTACAAAAATTTTATTAATAAAAGTTGTTAGTTTCTCAAACCAATGAACACATATAGCAGAAATAAAAGGATGTTACTTGTAGCAAAGGAGAAGGAAGATCTGGTTTTACTAGATCATATATTCCACTGATACATATTTATAGTGTCACACGCAACTAATTTATTTATTTATTTATTTATTTATTTTTTAAAGAATTTTTAATATTTATTTTTTTTTTAGTTCTCGGCGGACACAACATCTTTGTTGGTATGTGGTGCTGAGGATCGAACCCGGGTCGCACGCATACGAGGCGAGCGCGCTACCGCTTGAGCCACATCCCCAGCCCAACTAATTTATTTTTAAAAGAGAAAAGATACTGGTGTTCTGGGCTGCAGTTGCTTCTAAATGCTCTTTTCGGCATTGGGCTATAATGCACTATGTACAATACATCCATTTAAAATGTGTAATTCAATTGGTTTTTCTCAGTATTTTCGGAGTTGGGCAGCTATCCCCACAGTCTATTTTAGAGTGTTTTCATCACTCCAGAAAGAAACCCTGTATCCATTTATTGGTTGGGGCCCATTCTCCTTGCTTCCAACTCTCCAATCACTAATCCACTTTCTGTGGTAAAAGAGTGGCCTGTTCTGGACAAAGAAAGCCCTTGTAAATGCTCATGGAGTCTTAGTGTAGGAGCGGAAGACCCTGCTCTTTTCCTGCTGGAGGTTTGATATCCCGAGTCTGAGAAATATACTGGTGGTAGACAATGAGTGGGAGACCAGGTGTACAGATTTATTAAGTGTCCGGGCATCGCAGGAGAGTGAGTGTCAGTTACCCTGTGAGTCCGGGAGAGGAGAGGGGGTGTAGATGTTTCAGAGAAAAAGCCAGTGGTTTTTAGGGGAGGTGTATGAGCCCAAAGATGAGGCAGTAGCCTGGGACAGAGTTTGTATGGGCTCTGTGTGGTGTCCACTCTGGTCTTCTTCCTGTCGTGTGAGTGAGACTTCAGCAGTCTCCCCCACTGGTGAGATATCCGGAAGGAATTGACAGCATTTGACAGTCACCCAGAGAATCTAGCCTTTAGGTAGCTAAGGGAGCGTTCAGAGGAGGTGCTTTTCGGCACTGCTGCTCATTCCACTCCACAAATGCTCTCCGGTCGGTCAAAGTCCAAAGTGGCCCCAACACATTCTTAGATAAACCTATTAAGCAAATAATTAATTGACCAATAAATTCTAAATTTGGGTATAAAGATGAGATTAAAAAAAAAATAGTGCTCTTCCTTTTACTCAGACCCAACTCAACACATACATTTGTTTGTTTGTTTATTGTGCTGGGGATTGAAGCCAGCTGTTGAGGCATGCTAGGCAAGTGCTCCATCACTGGGCATCACCCCAGCGCTTTTCATTTTATTTGAGACAGGGCCTTGCTAAGTTGCCCAGGCTGGCCTTGAATTTGTGATTGTCGTGTCTCAGACTCCTGCCTGGCTGGGATGTAAGTACCAGACTTCAGCACACATTTCTGACACCATATGCGTGTGGGTTGTTTCCCCACACACCAAGCGAGTAAAAATTGTCCAGCAGACACCTGCTCCCTGGTGTCCTCTAATTCTGTTCTGGCGCTGTCTCCCTGGATAGAGATGGCACCAGACACAGGCTGGAGGCGCCCAAAGACTACCTCCTCCAGATGCTGGTGTTAAGTAGTAAGTCTCGCCACTCTTTCCTTGAGTTTGATTAATTTGCCAGAACTGCTCACAAAAGTCAGGGAAACACTGTTTATTTGCTGCTCACCAGCTTATTAATAAAGGATATAACAAAGGGTCCAGATGAACAGCAGATGGAGAAGATGTGCAGCGTAAGGCCGGGGGGAAGGGCGGTGGGGCTCCTGTGCTCTGGGTGAGCCGCAGCAGTCAGGAAGCTCCCGGGGCCCAGTGGAGGCTGCATCACGCAGGCGGACTGACCACATCAGTGGCCGCTGGTGACCAGCATAACCTCCAGTCCCTCAGCTCCCTGGAGACTGGCGGGGGGGGGGGTCGAAGTTCCAACCTTTTAATCACAGCTCACCCTTTCCAGTGCTCAGCCTCGTCCTAAAGCCACCTAGGGCTGCAGCCACCCTTTCATCAACATGCAAAAGACACCTTGCACTCAGAGATGCCAGGGGTTTTAGKTCCTGGATGCTAGTAACAGGACGAAGACCACATATTTACTTGACAGTGTCACGGAAGGATGTTCCCATTATAAGTTTTCTGTTTGTTCCTAAAATGCGATGTCACATGGTTGATTTGTAGAAAGAAGAAGAAAAAGTTGTGTTTTTTTTTTAAATATAAAAGCACACCATATGAGATGTGAGAATTCCAAATGATACCGAAATGTGAATATTTAAAATGTCATCTTACAGATGTTTTCCAAGATGTTTTGCATTATTTATGCTGACATATAAATCCTAATTTTGTCTATCAAAATGGGATTATATTATACATTTTCTTCTACCTCTTGCTTTATTTTTATTTTTTATTGCTGCTTGCTTTATTTGCTTAATAAGTTTTGGATATTTCCCATATCTGTCTTATGGAGTTACTATAAGTATTTAATTGCTATATAGTTTTCTACCTTTAGATGTATGATAATTAATTAACCAATCACCTGTTGCTACTCCAGAGCTCTTATAAAAAAGGAATTTGGACTTACTCCAGATAGTCATATACATGGAATAAATCATCACACATCATACCTGCATTTGGCTAACTCAAGAGTATTGCTTGGGGGCTGTGGCTGGGGCTCAGTAGTAGTGCCCTTGCCTAGAACGTGTGTGGCACTGATTCTCAGCATCACATATAAATAAATAAAATAAAAGTCTATCAGCAACTAAAAAAATAAAAATAAAGAATTAAGGGCTGGGGTTGTGGCTCAGTGGCAGAGCGCTTGCCTTGCACATGTGAGGCACTGGGTTTGATCATCAGCACCACATAAAAATGAATAACAAAGATATTGCAGCCGTCTAAAAAAAAAAAAAGAGTATTGCCTGGTACTGTGGCCACTAGGCCAGTATCCAGCTTGTTCATTTGCTGATGTGGCTGCAGGAACAGGTGATGGCAGGAGAGAGCACATGGCAGACTGTTTTTCTTTGTTGACAAACTGCTGCCACTTTTATAAGACATAAAAACAAAATAATTTCTTCTGAATTGTTTCTTGGAATGTCCGAGGCTCACCTGCAGATCGTGTCTGTAGAGCGTGGCTTCAGGAACACTGCCTTGGATGTTGAAGCTGTAGCTGGCCTGAATCTGTGCCTCTTCTGAACATGAACTGGAATTTCCTTCTAAAAATAGTCTCCCTGTCAATTTGTCTTATGACCAACCTCATTTTCATAGAAACTACTTGTAAAATATGATTAAAATGGATTGACTTTTTGGAGTAACTTGATTCTGGTTATTGAAGCTTTTGTTCACATCACATGGAGACAATGGGGCAAGGCTGGTGAGTGCTGAGGTCCTTATTTCATAGAAACTGAAAGATTAGAAGTACGTGACTCCAGGGCTGGGATTGTGGCTCAGTGGCAGAGCGCTTGCCTCACATGTGTGAGGCACTGGGTTCGATCCTCAGCACCACATAAAAATAAGTAAGTAAAATAAATGTACTGTGTTCACCAAAACTAAAAAAAAAAATGTTAAAAAAAGAAGAAGAAGAAGAAGAACGTGCCTCCGGATTCCTCCAGAGCATGAAGCGTTAACCTGGAGCAGCGCTGCCCAATCCTCCTGCGCCTTCAGAGCTCCTGAAAGCACAGGTTGAGCACAAGTCTGGGGTCTGAGGTCCTGTGTTGCCACAGGACAGCCCTCCTGCCCACCCTTGGGTCACATAGTGGGAACCTGAAGTTTTATCCCTGTTTAGGTCTTGGTAATTCTTCCTACTTGGATGTGACTTTCTTGTTCGCATGTCCTTCTTCCAGAGTTTGGACTATGACCGTTGCATCAATGACCCTTACTTGGAGGTTTTGGAGACGATGGATAATAAGGTGAGTCCCWCAGTTCTTGGTCTCTTGGGACCAAGTGGGTCTTTGGACAATTTGCCTTTTCTTCCAAATGCTCCAGGAAACATCTTTACCCCTAGTCTTTTGACTTTTTCATGAGATATTGGCATTTGATTCTCTAACCTTCCTGGTGCCAGCTAGCGCACTCACAGCCAAGGCACCTGGCCCAGCCCCTAGGGGCCGTCATTCTTGCATCATGAAGCATCTGAGACGCCAGGCCTCCCCTCACATGCTCGCTGTACCCCTGGAGTTGAGTCTGGAACTGGTTGGTCAAGGTGTGTTCCTTTCCCGCTGGCAGCGTGATCCTGTAACAGGGAATCATTCTTTTTCCACGTAAACAGAAAGGCCGAAGGTACGAAGCGGTGAAGTGGATGATGGTGTTCGCCATTGGAGTCTGCACTGGGCTGGTAAGCAGCAGGCCGGGGGCAGGTGATGGGCAGAGGGGTGGGCGGGTCACAGGAAAGGCCTGGCCTGGCTGCGGACTTCTTTCATTTGTTACTGTAGGGGTTGTTGTGATAACCAAGCCTGCTTTTTTTTTTTTTTTTTTAATAATAATGTTGCCCAGGTTTTCCTGCTTCGCTTGCTATTGCATTGTGAAATGAAAGTGAAACTTACACAACTCAGGGCTCTTGAAGCACTCAAAGGTTTGGCCAAAACATCCCTTTTATGATATGATTACAGGGCCTAGCCCCTAGTCTACTTGATAAGYTGGACGGCATACCTGTGGTGGGTAGTAGGTGACCTAGCAGGTGGAGCCAGCACCACGCTGTGGGTGCTGAGATCATGCTGCCCTGCGCTTCTCCCCGCACATGGGTGATCTGGTCTGGAGGGTAGAGCTGGCAGTTGTGGGTGGAGGTACGCCTCAGTGAACTTGGTTCCTGGGCTCCGCATGTTCACAGGCAGACCAGACAAGGACAGTGGGAAGCCTTGCCAAAGACTGCAGACCCGCCAAAGGTCTGGGACCGGAACTGCTGACTTAACGTTGGCAAATCTGGAAAAGAGAAGTCGGAAATGTCAGCAGCCAGCCAAAAAGACACACGTCAGATCTTGGTTTTTCATGAGTGCAGTGTGAGCAGGGGTGTGCCTGGGCCTGAGCAGCAGCCTGTTTATCTCCTTTCTCTAGAATTGGCCACAAGTCTCGTGCCTAACTCTCCATGATAGACCTGTGAAGCGTAAACCTGTATTGAATAGAATACAGCTCCAAGGACTACCACAGTTTCTATTTTCATGACACTCATCAGATTTTTACTGTAGTAAATTCGCAGGGAACATCTAGGTAAGACTAATGGTATTCAGAACCCTCTTTGCTAACATTCTGCTGGACACCATCATGGGGGAAACGTGGGTTGATTGGTCTTATTGAGGTCCAAGTGTCTGTTTTGCTGTATGCATTTCTGGGTCTAGATCTCCCAGTAATAAGCTCAGTCATTAGCCATAGAGTTACTCTTCTTTCTGCTCCTTTAATACAAACTCCTTTGAACTTTCAGTTGTCACTACTGGCAGCTTTTCCTCACACTCTTAGATGCTAGGAAGGCAGACCTTATAAAGTAGCACCCAGCAGTTGTGGCTTTGGCTCTTCTCCTTTGATCTGTCACCGCTTCCTACTCCAGTATTCATAAGCTTCCAGGCATTGACTTTAGGGAAGGCCAGAGTTGCAGGCGAGGAGCCTTTGATCATGTCTCCACACCATCAGGCTTTCTGAGTCTCCTTTAAGCAATGCGAGTAGAATAATGGAGCCGAGGTTGTTTCCTCTACTCAGGTAACCAGGGGCTGTAGGATAGTTCTCAGTCAAAAGAATGGCCAACGAAAGAGAAAATGCTGATAACAAACTTGCAGAAACTTTATACGCCCAAGAAAATGTTTTCTTTTAAAGTAGCATCCTTAGCCGCCTGCTTACCCAGCCAAGCAGCCCCAGACATTTTGGCCATTCCTCTTTTGAAACTGCCTTTGGAAAGAGCTGAGGGGTTCCCACACAGCTCAGTGTTACTACTCATTAACCTTGGGGTGTCTTCCTGGCTCTCCCATCTTTTTCTGTGTCCTTTCTCCACTTTGTTTTGCTCTGCTTCTCTCCACTTATCTGCACCCCTTCTCTATTCTCTGCTGGGGCAGTGGGGCCAGGCTGGGGCAGAGCTGTCCTCAGAGCCAGAGTGACTGACCAAGTTCAGTTGTACCTTGCTGGTGCTGACTTGATCAGCCACATCCATGCAGAGAGGGAAGGCGCTACCCCAGGAAGAGTCTGACCATGTCACTGCTCTCTGCAGGTGGGTCTCCTTGTGGACTTTTTTGTCCGACTCTTCACCCAGCTCAAGTTTGGAGTGGTTCAGACGTGTATCCTTTACGTGGTTCCTGATTCTTCCAGACTTCAGTGGTCCCCGAGCTGCCTCCTTACCTAGAAATGGGCCAGACAGTAAACAACATTTGAAGGGCCCTTACCAGCCATTCGGCTCTAAGGTTTTAAGTGTCATCAAGGGACCAAAGGGGAAAAAGACTTCAGTAGATATACTACATATTTGTGGTTAGTTAAACACCAGTGTCACAAATATGGCTGTTCTCCCCAGTTTGTAAATTCAGTGTTTCCATCAAAATTCCAGTGGTAGAGTGCTTGCCTAGCATGTGTGAGGCACTGGGTTTGATCCTCAGAACCACATAAAAAATCAGTGAATAAATATTGTGTTCACCAACAACTAAAAAAATACTTTAAAAAATTCCAACAGAATCTATTATGGAACTCAAAAACTCTCTTTCTAAAGTTGTATAGAAGAAYAAAGGGCCAAAAGTAATTGAGATGTTTTTGAACAACAGACTGGTGGGTTTGCCCTACTAGATGTCAAGACTTAGAAAATTTAAGATGTAGTAATTGAAACAGTRTCATATTGACGCAGTAATACCCAGTTAGACCAATGGGGAAAATAATAAGAGGAGCGGGAACTGTCCCATTCATTGAGAAATCTGATGAATGACGGTTAATTTAGCAATCAGTGAGAGAGTGAGGAATTATTTAATAAAAGATGCTGGGACTTTAGCTGTCCCTATGGAAAAGTATAAAATTAGATTCCTCCTCATACCGTAAATAAAGCTCAATTCCAGATGGACTGAAGATGTAAATAAGCAAAACAAAACTGTGTAAAAGACAAGATGATGTCAAGAGGGAATAATTTCTTAAAACTCTAGAAGGCACAGGCTGTTAGGGTCAAGTTTACTGATCTTTTCCTATCAGAGTAAAATTCCTGGGCGGGGGCTGTGGCTCAGCGGTAGAGCACTCACCTAGCATGTGTGAGGCCCTTGGTTTGATAAAAAGACAGACCTAAAACCCAGGAACAGCAATGAAACCCTATAAATACAGTAAGAAAGTCCAAGCCTGGAAGACATTTTCTAGGCATCGAAGGGGCAGATAGTCTCTAGACTAGACAGACCGCCAGCAGCTTACTAAGAAAAACCCCAAGGTGCAGTAGAAACTGGGCGGGGAATGAGGAGCGACCGTTGTCAGAGGAGGAAACCTGGATGGCTGGTGAGCCCAAGGAATAGACAGGAAGGTGCCCAGTCTCCTGCCTCAGAAGTTCCTCCCCTAGACCAGCACCTGGACATGTCCAGGGTGGTCTGCTGCTGTGCGACAGACAATATAGGAAGGGGGTCACCAGGTGTGAGCATGGAAGACAGCAGTGTGTTCACAGGATGTCACCTCATGCAGAAGTTAACACAGTGACCCAGGCGGTGTTCCCAAATGTCACCCCTGGAGGACAGGAAAGTGTGTGTCAGACGCGTGCTCCTTGACCGGCTCCTGCAGCGGTGGAGGAGTACAGCCAGAAGGGCTACCTCGCCCTGTCCCTCCTGGAGCTCCTGGGCTTTAACCTGACCTTCGTCTTCTTGGCGAGCCTCCTTGTCCTCATCGAGGTGAGCTGCTTTGGGAATGGCCCCTTTGTCCTCGAGGTTTTCGGTTCTGAGCCTATTTGCTTCATCTCCGTTCCCAGCACATCGGGACACTGCACAGCACAGCTGATAGGTCCCTGCACAAGGGTCCTCTTGGTCACTTATGCAGGAAGTTAGGGCTTAAGTCTCTGGTGAGAAAAGAGGAAAAATCTAGATAAGATGACAGTTCCAACCTTGGCGGCACATTGGCATCAATGGGAGAGCTTTTTAAAAACGCATAGATCAGAATAGATCAGGACCTCTGGAAGTGGGCTCTGCTTTGGTTGTTGAAAGACTCCCAGGTGCTGCAGACTCACGGGACTTAAGGGAACTTGTCAGAAATGCAGATGCTCATTTGGGTGCCTGTGATCCCAGTGACTGGGGAGGCTTAGGCAGGAGGATCTCAAGTTCAAAGCCAGCCTCAGCAACTTAGCAAGGCTCTGAGCAACATAGCAAGACCCCGTCTCAAAATAAAAAATAAAAAGGGCTGGGGATGTGGCTTAGTGGTTAAGAATCCCTGGGTTTAATCCCCAGTAACAACAACCAAAAAAAGCAAATGCTCCTGTCCTCCTTAAGACCTACAGAGTTGGGAATCTAGGCGGGGTGAGCACTGATGGTTGAGAAGCCTGTTGCTACTGGTTAGCTGAAGAAGCAGTGGATTTTAAATTTATGGGTGT